GGCAGGAGCGAGGGGCGAGATGCGAGGAGGGAGAATTGGGGCGAGAGGGGCGAGCAGCGGGGACGGAGGACGAATGACAAGCGGGAGGAGGGGCTGGGAGGGCGGGGGGCGAAGGCGGCGGGGGGTGAGGGCGGAGGAAGGGAGGAGGGCGGGGGGTGGCGGTACGACCGCTCCGCCGGGCAGTACTTGACAGGCGTACGCTGCTGAACAACAGTGCAAAACTGTCTCGCCAGCCAAGCGGCCCGAGCACAAATCCCCCTCGGGGGGCGGAAGGCTCCAACCTCGCTCCCCAGGCACTGACCACCGCTCGCTTGCTCTGGGGAGCACGACAAGCGTTGTGGACCCACTGGGGCATCTGCGGTCGCCGGCGGAGGTCCAGAAGTGGGCTCCGCGGCGACCCCCTGGCGCTGCGAAGAAATCACGGCAGAAGGCCTGGCCATACGCGGCCTCCGGGGAGACCCACAGTCAACCCGTAGAGTTAGAACGCGCGATAATTGGATGCAAGGGCCCTGGAAGGCCACGTCGACGCGTGGAGAGCGGGGCGCGGCCAGCGAAGGCGGCCAAGGACGGGCCCTAGGGGAAGGATGCAAGGGTCGCCTCGTCTCGCCATCGCTCGGACGTCCATTCCCTGTGTTTTTCTCGGTTTCGTGCGTGGCTTTTTCGCCACGTGGTCGAGGATGCTCCTCGCGAAGGAAAGATGCACACGTCCGAGCGATGCCAAGTTGTAGCCGCGGGGCGGCAGGCTCCGAGAGAGCGGGGCGGCGGCCGCGGCCGCGGCCCCGAGGGGGCGGCCCGCCCCGCGCAGCTCCCGCCGGAGCCTCTCGCCTGCCACCGGCGGCGCGCTCGGCCTGCCGCGCTCCCCAGCGAGGGCGGGGCGAGGCGCTCGCCATCGCTCGGGCGTCCCTTCCCTGTGTTTTTTTGTCGATTTCGCGCGTGGCTTCGTCGCCAAAGGATCCAGGGTGCTCCTCGAGGGTCCTCGCCGAAGGGAAAAAGGCACACGCCCGAGCGATGCCAAGAGCGTGTGCATATGTGCTCGTTCCGGGCCTCGGGATGCTGAATGGGGCCCTGGGACACACAAAACAACTACACACTAGTAAAAGGATTCCCCATAGTTTCCCATATCTTCTGGGTTTTCGTCTTCCCCCCCACTTCCCATAGTTCCCCATATTTTCGGGGGAATCGAGGATGAGTTGTGTCTGTATTTTTGTTCCCCCCTCCGGAAACGCTCCTGGAGGACCCGCTGGAGGAGGCGGCTCCCGCGCCAAGTCGCTCCTCCTTCCTATGCGGGCTGACTGTACTGTGCCCTGAGGCCGTCGACCAAGTCAACTCAGAATGGGCAGGCCCTGGGGCTCGCCATCGCTCGGACGTCCATTCCATATGTTTTTTGTCGGATTCGTGCATGGCTTTTTCGCCAAGTGATCAAGGGTGCTCCTCGAGGGTCCTCACCGAAGGAAACATGCACACGTCCGAGCGATGCCAAGTGCTGTGCGGGCTGACTGTACTGTGCCCTGAGGCCGTCAACCAAGTCAACTCAGAATGAGCAGGCCCTGGGGAGGGTGTGCGGGCCTCTGGAGCCCATGTTGCGGCGACCAAATCATGGCGTCGGCTGCCTGGGGAGGGAGGCTCGGGCTTCTGAGAGGCCCTTGGGCCCGTCTAAAGGGGCCCCCGCCTTCCAAGAAGCTCCCCACCTTCTTGAGCTAAGACGAAGCCAGGACGAGGACCAAGTCGGGTGAGGATAAATCGAGTCTCTCTTAGATCCGGCGGATCTGGAGTATCTCGGGCGCCGCGGCCTTCACAGAGCGTTCTGAGAGCGTCCCGGAACTCTCCGGGCTGGAAGCATCCTCGTCCTAGCCCCGTCCGACTTGGGCCCTCCATCGCGCCACGCCCCTGTGAGCGCCGCCACTCCTCTGTCTCGAACCCCCTCAGCAAGTCCGAGTTGATGTTGTTGAAGAGGTGGTAGCCGACCCGCCCGAAGAAGCCGCGGTAGATGCCCGACTGCGTGCACTCCAGGTCGGAGCCGAGCCCTGGCCAGCAGGCCTCCCACTTCTTGTCGGGCTTGGGCACGTCGCCCCACGGCCTTGATGCTGGGCCTGTGTTCCACCACCACCACCACCATAAGTCGGAGGGGGAGGGGGTCCTCCTCCTCCTCCTCCTCCTCCTCCTCCTCCTCCTCCTCCCTCCTCTTCTCCTCTCCTCCTCTCACGTCCTCCTCTCCTCTCCTCCTCCTCTCTCCTCCTCCTCTCCTCGTCTCGTCCTCCTCTCCTCGTCTCCCTTCCCCCCGCCAACTTCTGGTGGTGGTGGTGGACAACAGGCCCACCACCTGAAGGGGAACGATCCGGGGGGACCGGCTCCCGGGTGGGGGGGGGGGGGGGGGGGCAACATGGAGCCGGAGTTATGTCGTGCCTGTCCCCCTACAGGGGGATTTTCGACGAAAAATTAAAAATACAAAAAAAAAACATTCAAACCTTTGTCAAAAAATAGTCTGGGGACTATTTTTGTATAGTATTTGTTTACCTTTTGGGGGCAATGTGGGGGCAACATGGAGCCAGACTTCAGTCGGGCGTGTCCCCCTACAGGGGGATTTTCGACGAGAAATCGAAGATACCCTAAAAAATAAGCAAAAATAGTCCAAGAATAGTCCCCAGACTATTTTGGGAGTATTGTCTGCCCTTTTTGGTGCATTTTTGGGGTATTCTTTCATTTTTCGTCGAAAATCCCCCTGTAGGGGGACACGCCCGACAGAAAGCCAGAGTCGGCAGCACGTCGCCGGCAGATCGGCGATAGGCCCCGGATGGCGAACCCGAGCGTTCCTGGGCGGGGTGGGCTATCGGGCCCCTATAGGCTTATGTCGGGCGTGTCCCCCTACAGGGGGATTTCCGGCGAAAAATTAAAAATACCCTCAAAATAATCAAAACATAATCCAAAAATAGTCTGGGGACTATTTTTAAAATATTTTTGTCGTCTTTTGGGGGCATGTTTGATGTTTTTTTATTTGTCGTCGAAAAACCCGCTTGTAGGGGGATAGGCCCGACTTAACGATAGGCGATGACTGGGCGATTCAGGGTCGATGCGTCCCCCCTGAGCCTGCCCCCTGGTGGTTTTCATGTCATAACTCGGGCCTCAGGCAGCCGTTCGGGACGATTCGGGCAGCCCCCAGAACGCTCCCAGCGAGGCGCAGCCGCAGGAAGGCATCCTGAGGCTGGGGAGTTGCCGAGAGCCGACGAAAACGCCTGAAAACCTCGACCTTCGAAGCTTGCTTCCCACTCAGCCGATCCCCCACCCCTGGCGTGGCGCCCCGCGCGCGCCACCCCCCCCTCCCCCCCCCTGACGTTGCCCCTGGGGCCTCCGTTTCCCCTCCCCCAGCGCGAAGCCGGCGGGAGGGCCTGGCAGCAGCCGCTTCCACAGCAGCTCGCCCGCGCAACCGTTCTTCTCCGCGGCCATCCCGCGGTCCTGAGGGATGCAGCTCACGCGGACCTCCTGCCCGCCCGGCTCGCGCATCACCTCGTGCGCAGAGTCGTCCCCGATCCCGCCGAAGCTGATGTAGCACTTCTTCCGGCGCGTGCCTGGAGGAAGGGGCACACATGTTTTCTTTTTCCAGCGCGCATGTTTTGGAGAGAGGGAGGGCAGGAAGGAGGCGGGAGAGGGACGCGAACAACCAGGGAACGCTTCACCACCTGTCCCGTCGTCAAGTGCCCGTGCAGTGCCAGCCAACAGCTGTCCGGCGAACGTGGCGGAAACTCCAGCTACCGATTCGGAGGAAAGGGGGAGGACGAGGAGGTGGAGCGTGGCCTGATTTTTATGTTTTTTTTCCGTCCCCGGGCGGCGGAGCGCTGCGGGCTGGGGCCTGGGGCGAGGCGCCGAAAAGCTCTCGGCGAGGGCATGGCATGCGCCAGGTGACCTGCTCGAAACGGGCCTGCGCAAGACCCGATCAGGTACGATCTTGAACCGCGCCAAACAGCACGACTGAACCGAAAACAGACGTCGACATGACATATACCCGATACGAATGCATCAGTGGAAAAAGCGGAAAACAGAGGTAGATCTCCAGACGTTCGGGACCAGTGGCCCGCAGGAGGTGGGAGGGGGAGGACGAGGAGGAGGCAGGACGAGAGGGGCACAGGTGTGCAAGCGTGTGCAGAAGCCCCTGGAGGCCCGCGCGGAGGCACGCCTCGGGTCGGCGCCCGGCCCGGGGCGCCGATCCAAGAGCTCCGCGCGGAGCTCCGGCGGGTCATGCTCGCGTGGATGTCCGGAGGCAGCTGCTGGGAGGGCTTCGTCTCGCCATCGCTCGGACGTCCCTTCCCTGTGCCTTTGTCGGTGTCGGGCGTGGCTTTTCTCCGCGAAGTGGTCAAGGGTGCTCCTCCTCGATGGTCCTCGCCGAAGGCAAAATGCACACGTCCGAGCGATGCCAAGTCGTCGGAAGGATGAAGGAGGATTAAGCCCCGTTGGGGGGCTGTTACGCCGGAGCGGGCCTCGGACTCAGCTGGATTATAAGCCGGATTGAGCGGGACATAAGCTGGATTGAGCGGGATTGAGCCGGATTCAACCGGATTTCGGACCAGGGCTAAATCAGAATTTGACCTACCAGGAGTTGCATCCGAATAGATGTTTTTTCTGCGACTGCCGTCGGGATTGTAACAGCAGCCGTAGCTGTTCTTGCCGTCAGAAGCCCCGTTGTCGCCCGGCTTCATCCAGTCTCGGCAGGTGGAGTTGAGCTTCTCAAGCACCCGCCTGTACCAGCCGCTGCTCAGCCTGTTGCCCTTGGAGCCGGCAATAAAGTTGGTCGAGAAACTCTTCCTGCAGGCCTGGGCGCCAAACAGGTATGGCATCACCTCGGCCTCTCCCGAGAGCAACTCCTTGAACACGATCTCCAGGTCCTCGTTCAATATCATGTCCCCGTCCATGTAGACTCCGCCGTAAGTTGCCAGCATTGCAGCCCGCAGAAAATCGCTCTTCGCCTGCTGGTAGAGCATGTCGTACTCCACTGGCAGATCTGGGAGCCAGTCCCTGATGCTGGTGGAATTGACCAGGTGTAGGTCGAACTGCTCGGCGTTAGCGTGGCGTAGCCAACTTCGCACGTTCAGCCGGTAGGTTGTCGGCACCCCGTTGGGAAAGTCCCACATGACCCAGACGTGCATCCTCGGCTTCACGCAACCGCACACAAGAGTGACAATCGGTTGCATGCGATGCGGTATTAGCGGCCTGGGTGCATGGGTTTGTCGCAGCAGGGCCAAATGAGACAAGTGCGGCTCTTCCGTCTGGCCCAAATCCGCTCAAAATCGGTCCTCAGATCCCTTCCGGCGGCCATCACAACATATTTGTTTAGGTGGATTCAGCCGTGGCGACGAGAAGCCTCCATGAGACCCAAGAAGACAAAGAAACGCGCCGTTGTCTCGACTGGCCCTGTTCCAAATTTGCCCCCCGCGCGCCCCGCGAAAGCCACGCAACAAAGGCCTCTTTGGCGAAGGGACACTCTTTAGCGGACGAGGAGCGGTATAACACAAACCCTGCCGCCGTCACCGACGGTGGAAACGTTTATGCGACAGTGGACGCATAAGAGAACAGATCTTGATCATTAAAAACTTGGGCTGCATTCCTCGTCGCTGCTTAAGAAGCCCTAAGGTGCCCCAGAAATCCCCAAGGCCAACTGGGATACGAGACATTTCCGTTGGACACCTGCAGGCAATCAGATTTCTTACTTGATGTGCGTACGTTTTTGGCCAGAGTAGTTTTTAAAGGGATTTTTTCTGCGAGACGGATGTGGAGTACAAATGACTGCCCTCGCCGAGCGTCCTGGCACCGGAAGGCCATGCATGACCACGCCCCCTCCAGCCAACCTGGACAAACTGGCACGAAGACTCCTCGGAGGGGGGAGGGATGGACGAGAAGGAACTGGGGGGGGGCATACGCGGAACCTCTTCGCAAGGCCCGCCACAGACCGGGGGGCCCTCAGAACTCGTTCTTGCCCAGAGTAGTGGGTCTGCTGCAGAAGGGTCCGCGGGGAGAGCTTGCCGCCGCTCGGACGCCCATTTCACGTGCGTGTTTCGGCTTCGTGCGTGCTTTTTTGTTCCTTGCTCGATGGTCCAGAGTGGTCCTCGATGGTTCTCGCCGAGAAACAATGCACACGCCCGAGCGGTGCCGAGAGAGGGGCAGCGGTACGTGCAGTGGCCCGCGTGTGGCTGCGGCACTCCTGCGCGCTGGATGCAGCCGTTGCGCGCGGGATGCGGCCGTGAAGGCCTGTTCGCGCGCGCACTGCTGCCGGACCCCGGGCCAGCATGCCATCCCTCGAGAACATGGGGGGCCCTCCGTCGGCCAGAGCAACGCGAGCATCCGAGGGCACCCTCCCCGGGATGCACAAGAGCCTCCTCCTCCTCCTCCTCCTCCTCCTCCTCCTCCCTCGCTCGCTCGCTCGCTCCCTACCTCCCTCCCTCCCTAGCCAGCAGACAACGAAGAACACCTGGGCACCCCCGGGACCGACCTCGATCTCATGCCTCGGCCCGGCTGCAGCTGTCGCCCATGCGGGAGTCCGCGCCCCCGCTCCCGCAACAAGCGCGCGCTGTGGCGCGCAACCGTGCGCACTCCGGGAGCGGCGGCGCCCCTCGCCGCCGACACCGTCTGCGCCAGACCCGCTGCTCCAGCCGAGATGCCCGGGCGTCTGGCGTCTCGGCTTTTTCGGGACGCGGGCCACGACTTCTCGACCAGTGCAAGACGAAGCCAGGCAGAGGACAAATTCAGGTGAGGATAAATCGAGAAACTCTGAGATCCGGCGGATCTGGAGGATATCTCGGGCTCCGCGGCCTTCTCGACCATTTCCCCATGTGGGCGACGAAAATAAAGTGGTCTTACGCGAGATGGCACAGCGACCGTGCGCGGTGGCTCACGCGGGCCGCCAGCGCAGCACGCTACATTGGGAACGAGGGCGCTTACGCGCAACGCTACGCGGGCAGCTTACGCGCCAACGTCGGTGGAGACGAACCCCCTTTTTTCTGCGTCGCTCGTTTCTGTCCTCCGTGAAGAGCAATTGGGCGAGCAGGGGAGGAGATTAGGCCGCAGCCCGTGGGGAGAGACCGCCGCACTGTCCACACACCGGGTTACGGACTATGCGGTCGCTGCCGGCGTGATGGCGGAGCTCCCCCTGAACATGATTGCAAGCGGTGAGCGTGCGAAGCCCCGACAACGACAAGCGACGAAGAGGAGGAGGAGGAGGAGGAGCAGGAGGAGGAGGAGGAGGACGACTTCTCGACAATTTCCCCATGACCGAAACGTCTGGTTCTGCGGCGCCCCCGACGCCCAGAGAGGGCCTCGAGAGGCCGAAAACTGTGAAACACGAGAGTAGATCTTAGTAGTGAATTTTGACACTACGCTATGGCACTACGCTAACTTCACTCGCGCTGTGCCAAACCAAGCGACTGTGACACTACGCTATGACTCTACACCGGCTGTACTAGCGTTGTGTCAGAGCCAAACGACTGTGTGACACTACGCTATGACACTACACTAGCCCCACGAGCGATGGGTAAGAGTAAAGCAAAACCCGGAGGAAACACAAACAACGAACACTCTTCCGTCCCCCCCATACACATTAATTGTAGCGTAGTGTCAGTGTAGTGTTACACCCAGGTGTCCCCAACACTACGCTATGACACTACGCTAACCGTAGCGTCGAATTCTCTGTCACCGAGCAGAGTCCAGCGAGGCAAAACCCCAATGAAAAGCAAACCACAGACAACCAAAGCAAAGCCAAAGCAAACCACAGCAAACTACAACAACACCAAAGCAGAACCATGCAGCAAACCACAGCACAACTACAGCAAACTCAGCAACACAGCAAAACCACAGCAACGCAACTGCAAAACCACAGCGAAGCCACAGCACACAGCAACACCACAGCACACCAGAGCAAAACCACAGCAAACCACAGCTGAACCATAGCTCGACCACAGCACAGCAACACCACAACAACACCACAACAAACCACAGCAAGCCACAGCAACACCACAGCAAACCACGGCAAACCACAGCAAACCACAACACAACCACAACAAACCACAGCAAACCGCAGCAACACCATAGCAAACAACAGCAAACTGCAGCAAAACCATAGCCAATCATAGCGAAACTGGGAACATCGGGAAAGGTGTCCGCAACACTACGCTATGACATTACGTTAACCGTAGCGTAGGACCCCCTTTCGCGGAGCAGAATGAAGCAAAACCCTCAGGATAAGCAAACAAAGCAATCTATTCCTTCCCCCCCCACCTCAACCGTAGCGTAGTGTCACAATGTACTGTCACGTCAAGGTGTCCGCAACACTACGCTATGACACTACGCTAACCGTAGCGTGGAATCTTCTGTCCCAGAGCAGAAGCAAACAACACCCTAAGCAAAAGGAGTGAACAACAACTCTTCCTTCCCCCCCCCACCTCAACCGTAGCGTAGTGTCACAATGTAGTGCCACACCCAGGTGTCTCCAACACTACGCTATGACACTACGCTAACCGTAGCGTAGTGTCACAGTGTAGTGTCAGACCCAGGTGTCCGCAGCATTACGCTATGGCACAGCGTAGTGTCGCATCGTAGTGTCGCACACAAATGTCCGCAAAATTACGCTATGACACTACGCTAACCGTAGCGTAGTGACAAAGTGTAGTGTCAGACCCATGTGTCTGCAACGTTACGCTATGGCACTACGCTAACCGTAGCGTAGTGCCACATCGTAGTGTCGCACCCAGGTGTCCGCAACATTACGCTATGCCACTACGCTAATTAATCGCAGCGTAGTGCCACAGTGCAGCGTCGCACCCAGGTGTCCGCAACACTACGCTATGACCCTACGTCAACCGTAGCGTAGTGTCATAACCCGTCGTCTCCAACACAGCGCTATGACACTCCGCCAGCTTGAATTTTTTCACGATGCAGAGTTCGAGTTCACGATTCAGATGCACGGTTCGGAAACACGGCCATCTGGATGTTGCTCGAGACGCCTGACATTTGGGAACTTACATCATACAGTGGGGGTTCGGCCACAAGAAACCTCCGCAAGAAACCCAACCCTGAAACACGCGACTCGCTCAGCGACAACCCGAAGTCGTCGATCGAAAAAATCGTCAAGATCTTATTGGGATCCCAGCGAAATCCAAGAAACCCAGGGCACCGTGGCAAAATCCAACTGGTTTCTTGTAGAGGCCTCCTAGATGGGGTCGGAGTAGATGGGGTCGGAGGATCGCGCCGCATCGCCAATACATCGACGATGCATCGGCGACGCATCGGCGATGCATCGGCGATGCATCGGCGATGCATCGGCGGCGTCGGCGATGCATCGGCGACGTCGACGCCAAGCAAGTCGGGCTCCGCATCTAGCCGTACCGGCGATGCATCGGCGGTGCGGCGCGACCCTTCGACCACATCTACTCCGGCCCCAGCTACGAGGCCTAGATCTTGGCACGCGGCCCTCAGTCCTCATAGCTTGCGGTCCTCAGTCCTCGTAGCTTGCGAGAGGTCCTCAGTCCTCGTAGCTTGCGGGAGGTCCTCAGTGGGGGGAGGGAGGAAGGGAGCGAGGGGGGAGGACGGGGGGAACGGGGGGAGGGAGGGGGGAGGACGGGGGGGCGCGGAGTTTTATTCCCCGGAGAGAGAACCAGGGGGGGGGGGGCCCTTTTCTAAAGACCCTACCGGGTTACCGCACCTCGTCCGCCAACCTTTCGGGCGCACCAGACGTCCGCTCCGCGCCGTGTGCCGCTGCCGGCTCCGGCGGCCGCGCGGCGACGGCCGCCCCCGCGGGCGCCGCGCGCCGCGCAGAGGCCGGCGCCTCTGCCCGGGCCCCAGACGGATGTAAACGTGCGAGCCAGCTCAATGGGAGACCCCAAGCGGTGTGGCGACCGCGCCGCACGGCGAGTGCGTGGGGATTCGGGGCCGCCGCGCGGTTTTGCGACTCGGGCCGTCCTCCGAGGGCGTCCCGGGCCGGGGAAGCCAAAACGGCACTGATAATTACCGCCACTCCCTGGACCTCCCTCCCAAGGTGCGTTAACTGACCCCTGACCAGGACTTTTCGAGGCGAAGCCTGCGGTGGCGACGAGGGCCTCCCGGCAGGCCACAGAAAGAGGAAAACGAGGGAGGGGCAGAGGTATGGGTACAGTCGGGGCCTTGACCAAAGGAACCCAAAATAAGGAACGAGGCCCCTTTTTTTCCATAAGTTAAGCTTCGATTCTCCGATCGAAAACATAAGGAAAATCTGAGGCAAGCTGCGAAACACTTGAGGAACGCGGAGCCCCTCCCAAACGAAAAGGGTTCCTTTTTCAGGGCCCCGATCTCGGGCGACCGGGGGCAAGAGGATGATGTGGCTGACAGGCTTCACGATGCCTTGACGCCCTCGGCCGGAGGCCGAGAAAGTAGTAAAAGGTGTGGAAGACACCATAGAAAGTAGTAAAAGGTGTGGAAGAGACCGGGCGACCGGGGGCCTCCGAGGCCCCAAAAGAGCCGCGCTGTGGCGCACCGCGCGGCGAGGCCGCGAGGGGCTCTCCGCGAGCTCGGCCGCGCGGTGCGTCACCACGCGGTGCCTTTTGCTCGCGGCCCGCGCTGTCGCCCGGGAGGGGTCGGCCGCCGGGCCCCCTCCCTCGCGAAGCCTGGCGCCCCGACCCGGGCCTGGCCATCGCTCGGACGTCCATTCCGTGTTTTTGTCGGTTTCGTGCGTGGCTTTTTCGCCAAATGATCAAGGATTCTCCTCGATGGTCCTCGCCGAAGGAAAAAAGCACACGTCCGAGCGATGCCAAGGGGCCGGCGGAGGGCGGAAGAGGAGCACTCCCTCGCGAATTTGGACGCCCGAAGTGGGTACGGAAAGAATTGGTGCAATGCCCAACAGCACATGTTGTCCCAGACCATCAGCAGCCGCTGTTGGGCAGGCGGCCTCCTGTCTCGAATGGACACAGGCCGCGGCGGCGTGGACAGCGAGTCCTGTTCAACATGAACCAGATCTGCTGTTCGGCATTGCACCCATTCTTTCAATACCCATTTCGGGCGTCCAGAGCGAAGCCTGGCGCCCCAGCACGGGCCGGCGGAGGGCGGAAGAGGAGCACTGGCCACCACGTGGCTCCCAGAAAGCCCACGCGGCGACCTTCTACGCGGTGGCGTTCGCGGGCCGCCGGCGCGGCAAGACACCGTGGAAGCCAGGGCGCTTGCGCGCGACCTTGCGCGGGCAGCTCGCGCGCCAATGCCGGCGCGGACGACCCCGTTTTGTTGCGTCGCCCCACGTGGCTCCCAAACCCAGGCCAGCCAGAGGGGATTGGCTGGCGCCCGTTGGCGCTGACCTCAGCTCTTGCACGCAGGAATGACCCTGGGCAAGAGTGACCTTTGGTGCGCGGCTTTAGGTGGGCGCATGGGAGCCACGCAGAACCGCGCAAGCCGCTGCTACCGCATCGCATTCAGCGATCGAGGAACCCCAGTGGGCCAGCACCAAAGGTTACTCCAGCGAAGGGTCACTCATACGTGTAGTCGATGCTCCCCCGTTGCGCGAGCCCTGACTCAAGGCAAATCCTGGCGACCCCCTGCGCGGCAAGGTGCGTCGAGGATGGCGCGCCCGTCGGCGGGGCCGCAGCCAGCTGCATGCAGCAGAACTCGTGCCCCTCCCCCTTGCCTACATATCCACATACGGTATCACTGCCCGCTTAGGAGTGCACGTGCCCATGGGCTGCCGCAGCCCACGGCTTGATCTGATCTGAGCTGACCCTTTGCTCGATCCGCTTTTCTTGACCCGAATGTTTCCCTCGGAACCCTTTTCCTTCGTGGCGGCCCTTGAGACGAAGGCAAGATGAGGACAGCATTCGGACGCGGGGAAGTCTGAGATCTCCGAGAACTGGCGGGTCTGGAGGAGGATGCATCGGGCGCCAGCGGCCGTTCCAGAGCGTTCCAACCCCACAGTTCCCAGTCCCTATATCCGACCTCGCGAAAACATGGCAACCTCGCGAACAAAAAATACGACAAGCGCCTTCGTGCTGCGCTCTCTTCGAGCCGGAGAGGTCTGTGACGGTCCAGGGGCCAGAACCAGGGCGGAAGCGCCCGACGTGAAAGAAGGAGATGCAGCGCGCGGATCTCGGCGAGTGGCCCCGCCCCCTTCGTCCGGTCCGATCTCTCGGACGCCCGGAATGGGTACGGAAGCAGTCGGCGCAGTGCCCAGCAAGAAATGCAATCGAAAGCCAACGACGGCCGCTGTTGGGCAGGCGGCCTCCTGTCTCAAGTGAACAACTCCCGAAACGGCACCGACAGCAGGTCCTGTTCGGAATGGACAAAAACTACTGCCGGTATTTTGCCCATTCTTTCTGTACGCACGTCGATCGTCCCGGGATCTGCTGGGGAAACCAAGAGGCATCGATACTGTCACTCCCCAGAGCTCTCCTGGGGTGCGTTCTGACTAGAATTTCAGGGCCAATTCAGCGGTGGCCACGAGGGCCTCCCAGGAGGCCCAAGAAGGGGAAAGCGAGGAAAGGGTAGCCGTAAGGGTACCTTTTTCCCCCTCTGCTCGTCAGCCTCCACTCGCCCAGGGAGCGACTCCAGCAGCGGCTGGCCCCGCCACTGCGTGAGGACCGGGGGCTGCCAGAAGCGTACCTAGCCGGGTGCTCCCGGCCTTTCGCAGGGAACCCTTCGGGGCCTCGCGAGGCGTGCTCCCCAGACATGCGATGTTTGGATTTTCAATCATCCTGAGGTCTGGGCGTTGTTACTGCGAGACAGGGATTTATCCATATCCACCGCCTGGGAACCGACGTCCTGGGGACCCAGCGGGCGATGGATATGGATAAGGCTATGGATATGTATGTAAATGTATATATGTGTATACTGATATAGCTATAGATTGGCCCCTAGAGGCCCGAATACATCCATATCCATCGCCTTTGGAGGTCCGCGAAGATCGATCCCCCCAGCGGTGGTTCTGCATAAACCCCACCCTCGAAATATTTGTCTCATGCCGGGTAATTTCGCTCGGTTTCGGACCCTGGGACCCTGACAGACCGATCCAGCTCGAGAAGTGCAGCAGCGAGATGGGCTCTTAAGGCTCCGGCAGTGACTGTGGGTGGGTGATGCTGCTGTCTTTCCGCAACGTCGGATCTCAAGGGACCTCGGACTTCTCGACCCAGTCCCCGGGACCCAGTTTTAATCATCTCGGGGGCCCAGCGAGGCCCCCCCAAAGGCCGAAAGCTGGCAAAGCCTCTGTCGTTTTTGTTTGATGACGCGGGCATGCCTGGGTCTGGCATGGCCGTGGGGGCTTCCCTGGAGATCGGCAGCTGGCAACTGGCAACCGGCTCCGCGTACGTGGCGCCGTGGAGGTGCAGCGGAGGGGGGGTGCCGAGGAGCCTGAAACGATTACAAAACGGAACATCACAGGAGCAGCAACAGCTCTCGACCAGACCTGGTCTCCCGCAGAACCCTCACGAGGACCTCTCCAGATGATCGGGCCGGCAGAGATCTGCACTGATGCAGGATCGGCCCCAAGGCTTCCCAGAGCGGCCCCCCTGGGCACCACTGACGGCCTACCAGACCACCCCAACCCAACCCGAAGACCCGAATTTCGGGTTGGGGGGGTACGGGTTCCATACGTGTTTTTCGTTGTTCCCTGGACCCCCCCCCACTGGAAATGGAGGGCAAATTGGGGCCTTCGGGTTGGGTTGGGTTGGTTTGGTGGGTGGTGAACCACGAGCCAGGCACGCCTCTGGCAGCACCCGGGAGCACGGAGGCGGTCGCCAGCAGCGCCGCGGCCCACGCGCAGCGGCCGACGCAGGAGCCGCAGGCGCCCCAGCGTGCCCGCGCGGGCCGCGGCATGCTGCCATATGCGCCCCGCGGAGTGTCTCTCGGAGCGGCCCCCCCCCCGCGCCCCTGCCTCGAAGAAGAGACGACGGCGCGAGCGCATTGACTCTCAGAGCTCCGCGCGGACTTCTCGGATCGGCGCCGGGCCCCTCCCCTGGCGCCGCCTCCGCTGCCGCCCCTGGCGCGCTCCACGCGCGGGTCTGGCGTGGATCCAGCAACAAGTACGGGGGTCTCCGAGAGTTGATGCTTCGCGGTTCTCTTCTTCGACCGTCGTCGGCTACTTGTCGGCGGCGAGCCCGGGGGTGGGGAAGTGAAAAGGGGCGGGCCTTCTCAGAAGGCTCGGACGTCCCCCGGCCTTCTGAGAAGTTTTCTGGGCCTTCTCCGAAGAAACACAGAACACTTCTCAGAAGGCGCGAGGGCATCCGAGAAGTCCTGCCGCCTTCTTAGAAGGCCTTCTCCTTCTCGCTTGCCCCCCTCGCTCGCCGCCGCATTTGTGCGCAAAGGGTGGCCCCAGGCGAGGGTGGCAGTTGGTGGCGGCTTGCCGACGGTTGCGCGCCATGCGGCAGCGGCAGCCCACGTACTTAGGCCTGGCCCCAACTGCCCCCATGCGCTCCCCCCAGAAGCCGGGCATCAAATGATCAGCAGCAAAAGGACCCCTAACCCTTTAGGAGGGGTCCTAAGTTAGGAGGGCCCAAGGCATTCAGGAAAGGGTCTCCTCTGCAGATGCATCGAACCAGACCGCCCAGATCTGTTGTCCCTGATGACAAGACGGGGACCTTTCAGTGAGACTGCGTCTTCATTGTGGCCTCAGGGTCATGGGGTCTTTGATCACCGATGCCCAAACGCCGCCCAAGCGAAGGGGCCACTCTTGCGCGGAGCCGGGCTCTCTCTGCAGCGAGGCTCCGCGCTTCAGAGGTGGGGCCCCGAGGTACTCACGAACGACGAACACTGTGGATGCTATGACGACGGACACCCTGACAACCCCATCATTGAATTCGAAAGTTGTCTGGGACGTTTGGAAACAAACAAAGCTGAAGTGTCGGAAACATATGTTCTACATGCTCCATCCATGTTTAAACCATGTATGTGGACATCTGGACATTATTTGGCAACGCGGTTCCTCTCCACCTCGCCATCGCTCGGACGTCCACTCCCTGTGTTTTTTTCGGTTTCGTGCGTGTTTTTTTCGCCAAATGATCAAGGATGCTCCTCGAT